GTATTAGTTTTGTAAATACTTTCAATCTGACCGCCTTTGCCACATATATATATATATATATATATATATATATATCAAGCCATTTATATTAAGTTGTGCATTGTGAATGATCCGTTCTGTCCTTCACTGGTCTGATAAACCATGTCTGTGGGTTTAATCCATGCTTTAGGGTCTTCCCTTAAGGCAGTTATTGTCTCATCATGACGTCCCCTCCTCCCACTGTCTGGTGACACTCTATGATGAGTCTTACGGGCGGCAGGCCTCCACCGCTCTGCCCACACTGCACTCCTGGAACTCTTTCAAACTGGCTGGGCTCCCAGAGAGGTCAGATCACCCAATCCAAGGTATTAAGCATTCCCTTGACTCCAGATGGGTTTTAATGCAATTCAGTCTGCGTTTTGAATTAATCTTGGAAAACATCCCTGTAAATCATGGATATCAGTTATATTAACACATTGGCTTTTATTGTCCAGTGTCTTCATTTATTTTTTTATTTGAGCATAGACAGAAAATTACTGCGGAAAATGTGAATGAGAAATTGATGTCTATTATATGCCAGTGGGTGATTTAAATGAATAGTTCACTCAAAAATGAAAATCGTCATCATTTACTCACTGTCATGTTGTTCCAAACCCATATGATTTCATTTCTATTTTAAGATAAAAAAAAAAGACAAAGAAATGAATGATTCTCACGATTCATATTAGCCTATAGCTTTGTGTGAGGAAAACATGGTGAATCACTTAAAACACCCTCTGTTCTCATGAAAGCTTATTAGAAATGTAACAATGTCTGACTGATAAACAAATATTTTTTAGTCAGAGTTTGTTTGACTCAAATGAATAAATTTATTGATTCAGTTCATAAAACTGTTCTGAGTGATTCGTTAATGAATCAAATTGGTCAAGTTTAAGTTGTTGGTTTGATACTGTTTCAGTGATTAACAGCTCAGTTTTTTGTTAACTATTCATTTAACGCTAATACATTTTTTTTCAGTGTAACAATATTACAAGTAAGCCATTCATAGGCTGATTTTGGTATGTTCTTTTATAGTTTTATTAATATTTAGAATTAATTCTAGTAATTCTAGTGCTTCAGCACAATTTTTAATTTTCTAATTTTCATTTAAAGTTTTTCATCTAATATTTACAGCTTTATTTAAAATTAACACAAATAGTTTAATAGTTTTTGTTAATGATAATAACCCAGTTCCCTCTGTGGTCTTTTCAGTGTTGCTCTTTACTGTTGCAATGCTAGTGGCATAGAAACTCCACACAGTCTATTTGAACCTGTTTCTCTTGTGATGTCTCTTTTTTTTCTCTCTGCCTCCCTCTGTTTCTTACACACAGGGCCTCCTACTAATTTTGGCTTGGCAGAGTCTTGGCGGGCTCATATGGAACAACAGCGGGCAGTTGTGCCCGCACTAAGCGAGTATAGGGCTTCATACCCTCTGCACCCCATCAGCGCCTTCTGTTATTCTCGCCACGTCAGCATGCCCAAGCGTTTCTCCAGCAGTCAGTACCCTGCCAAGCACAGCAACGAGGACCTGGCACTGAAACCCAGACCCTGCAGGCAGGTCTCCACTAATCCAGCCAGCCTGCTGTGACCCTTACCCTTTGTCTCACCACCTTCAGCCCTCCAGTACCACACAGACTGGCCTCAGCCTGGGGAGAGGGCTTGGAATACCTTGTTTTACTGATCAGTGGCACTTAAAACAAAAGGAACAGGAGCATTCCACGGTGTTTGCAGAAAGTCAAATAAAAGATATACACTGCAATGTGGTCCAAACGTCTGATATCACTAGTCCAAATACTTTTAGCATTTAATGCATTAGTTTTATATTACATTATATTAGCATCACTTTATTTAAAGTGAAAAGCAGCAACTGACAGCAGCACTTGAGCTGCATGAACTCCACAAGTGTGTGTAAAACCTGATGATCATGTTGTCCAGCATGATTTGAGATGACCAAAGAGCTCTTCTGAGTTCACACGGTCTCAAACTTTGGAACCCCACTGAAATAATAATGGTCTATCAATATTTGAGCTTTACAGGTATTTCCATCTGTCAGACTGTGTTCTTTCCATGTTTACTACAAGTTGGTGTTTATTTGCGGGTCACATTAGTGAGTGAGAGAGAAAACCGTGTTAACCAAAACAACAACAACAAAAAAACCTGCAAATTTTTTTAGGATATGTCATGCTTCATTATCGCACTAAAATAGCATTGAATCAACAGTTCATTTGGACCACAGTACTAGTTCAGATAGCCAAATCATTCATCGACATACTCTAAGGGCACTTTCATAACTCCCATCCCATTAAGTGTTTAATTATGTTGAATCAAAGTGTTTAATTACAAGGAATTGGACACTATTTTACGTCCAACCATCTGTTCACACTTCTCCTGCTGTGTAGGTTTTATCCCACTGTGTTCTTCTGCTAGCCTTCGGAACATTCCAGCTATGTGTCTTTTTGCATTTGTGTCACTGACTTTTTGTGTGGTGAATTAGTTCTTTTGCGATTCCATCAGACCTTGAGATCTCCCCCACATGATGGTGCTAGAGTTACACACGGAGAGAAATGATACGTCACGGAATTGCATCACAGCACACACTCCTCTGCATGCCTGCTTTCTTTGATCACATATGCATAAGCGATTGTCACGGTGATTGTATTGTATACTTTCATTAACATAAATTGATTATGTGATTGCTTTGCTTTTGACAGCATAATTGCATTTAAATTTAATTAAGATCCTGGTCACACAAACGCCTCTTGCTGCAAACACACATTTTGTCAGAACTCATTATATATTGAAGTCTAACACAAGAACCAAGACTCACTTATAATAGATGAGAGAATTTTATTCCCAGTTCTCCAGAAGATAGAGAGAAAAGTGCACGAAGAGGCAAAGCATTAGATTCTTCTTTCCTTACCCCCATTAAGTCATTAGTTCTCTCTGTATTGTTTAATGGAATACACAAAGAGAAGAAATGTTTCTTCTAGGCTCCCCAAAGTGCTCATGTGATGTTAAACTGTCTTTGCAAAGAACCACACAGTGTTACCATAAAATGCTTGATGAAATAAGAGAAGCTTCACAAGTAAAACCATTGACCTGAAAGGAAATGCATTCTTGTGGCAAGATGACAAAATTTGTGGAAATGTCATGAAAATAATACAACAAACAGATTAACATTTTATATAAAAATGTGCTGTTATCATGTACGATTAATTGTGTGATATGCAGAGAAACAACTGCAAATATGCAAAAAGGAAATTAAAAAAACTGAATATAATTAGAGAGCATACATAAATTGTACTAATGGCAGCCATTCATGTTGTTTATGATGCCAGCTCCGCAACCACAGTTCGGCTTTATTCTACACACAGTATTGGTTAACATTATCCACACAGTGTTTCAAAACGGTATATTTACTGAAACATTTTATGCACTTGCACAAGACATTTCCAGGATTAAAAGGTTGATTTAGACATCAGAGTGGTTTGAAGGCCTAAACAAACAAATAGCCTTCACTATGACAGCAGATTTATTTATCAGTAAGTGCTGTGTAATTGTGATCTAGCTGTACAATAATTGGATGTAATAGCCTTGATATTTTATCTAAATTGCCACTAATTAAGAAAAGGTACATTCCTTGAACATGTGCATAATATGGTCTTGAGTGTTTGTTCTTACCAGACAACCTTTTACTTGAAAGATCTGACCTTTTTTAAACACAAGTTTGTTGAGTGGCCCTGTCAGGTAGCACAAGGACGAAAGGAAACAAAATACCTTTAGCCGGAGATAGCACTTTCAAATCCTGTGCAACAAAGCTTGGCGATACCTCATCTGCAAGGAACCTCAAGGTAAATTGACGACTCACACAGTAGATAATATTGTCCATAGTCACACATTGAAAGGCTGTGCAATGTGGGCGGCGTATTGAAGCGCATTCGTACCATAGTCGTGCCACTGCGTGAAAGCGATACACGCTGATGCCCAGGGGACTGACGTCAAAACGATACAGGAAGTTCCTCACCGCCACTATTTCTGTGGTCTTGTCCTTACTGCCCACAATCATGCTCTCTCGCCACGTGTTGGTCTTGGGATTATAGCGCAAGAGGGTGTATCTCAACGTGCCCCCTGCAACAAACAGTTCACCATTGCAGGCTGTGGCCTTGTGAGCTACGGCGAATGTCTCATTAGGAAGAGGTGCCACAAAGGTCCATCGGTTTGTCCTGGGGTCGTAGCGCTCAACCGTTGATAGGCATTCGCCTCCAATTGCATAAAGATGGCCCTGCAGAGCCACGAGTTTGCAGTGAGGCCTTCCCTCATTCATGGGGCTTATTTCACTCCAAATTGAAGTCATTGGGTTGTAACAGTACACTTTCTTTGAAGGGGTCGCTTCACGGTCTGAGCCTTGGAAACCCACAGCGATAAATAGATAATTATCCATGGTGCACATGGCACAACCTTTCGATAACACTTCCTGAGGAATGTGGGAGTGAAGGTGCCATGTGTCCTTATAATCATCGTAGTAATAAATACTGGATGACTTAACTGATTCAAACTCTAAATACATAGACTGTGATGGACGTCTACTCCAATCCGGGGAATCCATATCTGCGACCACTAACCACTTCCTTCCTCTCATGCGTTGTGTTTGGATGTGATCACGCTCCCCTGCTTTCAGCCTGCCAAAGAGGCCTGGGTCTCTGAGGACCTGAAGGTAATTATCAGACATGACACGGAGAGCAGCTTGCTGAAGGGCAGTGTGACCGTGTTTTTTAGCAAGTGTTAAAGCCTCCAAGCAGTTGCCTAAATCGAGCTTCCCTGCTATACTCTCGAGTTCTGCATTCCCCATGTTCTCTGGAAAGTGTAAGAATTTTGCTCCGGCGACAGTTTTGACTTGTGGTTCCTCCGGCGCATCCAGGTTTGCTATATCAGAGTCTAATGGGCTTGAAGGGATGTCATTGGGTTGTGCTGGAGAACAGCTGCGAGGTGTTAAAGCCCTCTGTGTAGGCAAGGGGATTGGAAGCCCTGAGTCACTAGCAGCAGTAAGATAGCTGTCCTGACGGATGACTACTTGCCTGCTGTACCTCACAGTCTCCGGTTTATGAAGGAGGCCTCCCGCTAACGAGGGAGGCTCGTTAGTAATTCGTGGAGCAATTTCAAGATCTCTAATTATGAAACTAGAAGGTTGTGGACTTGGCGTTCGGGAGCAGTCTTTAAAACCGGGTAAATCCAATAATTGTGAAGTGCTGTTTTCGTTTTGACCATAGACCGGACTGACAGACCGGGTGGGGCTTAAATCTGAGATGAAATGAGATGAGGACTCCACGTAGTACTCATAGATCTTTCCATGGATGCCCGTTCTACAATTCCCTGGCCCATCCAAGATAAGGTCAGCATTCTCTACTTTGATTTCTGCCTTTGACTGAAAACTCGAGAACATGCCCTGGTGACCAACGTCCTGCCTCAGCTGCCTGCCAACACCCGTGCCACCTTCCAGCTTCTTCATTAGAACTGGAGATCGGCGACCACTTGGACTTCCTTGACCTGTTTCGGTCACACCAGGAAGTTTTAAGGTCAACTTTGGTTTGCCACTCTTTGCCTCAGTTATATCCTCAATTACGTTGTTTTTACCTGCAGGTTCCTCCTTTACACAACTGTCCAAGCCCATAGTTTCAGGCTGACCACTTTTCAAGGCAGAATTGGCATTTTTAAGGCTCTCTTCCAAGGGTTTCTCTGAAGATTCTTGAAAATGATTTTCCCTGTCAGACTCCTCCTTTGCAGCTTTGCTCTGTGGTTCTTGCTCAGTATTGCAGGCACTGTAGCTTCCTCGGGTTGCTTGCACACCCCTTTGTTGAATTCTTTCACTTCCCCGCCGTCTGTTTCGTGCCCTGGAGTTGTAGAATCTGAAAACCAAAGAGACAAATAACATGGTGGCCACGGATAGAGTCAGTTTGCCCAGGAGCTGCATGTCAAAGTGCATTCCAAGCAATTCTGCAATTGGCATCTCTGTAGCGAAATCTATGGTGGTCCTCTGGACATTGGATTTTATTTGAAGCCTCTTCCCTAGCGTATTCCAGCCTGTGTAGTTTGTAGTTTAGTATCTGCAAGCAGAAGCACACTGTCAGCTGTCTTTTCTCCCACAGGATGACTAAAAACCTGATATGTACAACAAGAGCATTTGCATCCTGTGTTCTCTGAGGGCGGGGACCAGTATCATTCCACCTGGTGCAGGTGATCGCTATGAAAACAAATGACACCAGGGCTTTTGAAGGCTTATCTAACCCTTTAGTTTCCTTGAAGAACTAACATTTTATTGACGTATATTTATTGATATATAACTACAATTTTTAGCAAGTTAGCTTACATACAGGTGACATTTTTCCAGTGCAGACAAAGCATAACCTAACAAAACAAAACAAGACAGGCAAATTAGATTGCGAATTAAGTGATGACTATGTGTTTATGCCATCTTGTTTTAATTGATGATAAGTCTATTTAACTATGAAAATATCTAACATACCCTGGCTATTGCAAACACAACTGGTGAGAATGGTGAAAGTAATTTACTTAAGAGGTGGAGATGGCTGATAGACTATATCAATTACAAACACAAGACTATATGACCAGGATGCTGCTGTTTGCTCAAACAGGATCAAAGTTCTTTCCCATGAACGCATGACAACAGTGTTGCTGATTAGCAAGGCTTTGAGAGATGATATGAGGTAGCTTTGCATTTGCCAAAGGCATTATTTGCATACCCTTAAAAAAGAACACTGTTTTAAATGTAAGATGTCATAACCTGTAAGGCTAACAACTGTAATATGATCGACTTACCATCAGAGAAAATGATCAAAATAGCCATAAACACTTTGCTAGATTGAATGGTGTCCTTTTTTGACACAGACATTGTTTTGCTATGTGATAGCCGTCTTGTAGCTGCACTGAGGAAACCTAAACCAGCAAGCATGCTTACTCCTGAATAATTGACAGATGTGTCACAAAGGTCTACTACCCCTCTGCCCCTCCTATCATGTGTCAAGTGAAGAGTTTGGATTTGGAGAAAAAATGCATTTGGCAACATGTTGTGGAAAAAGAATTGTGAAATTCATAATAGACTGAAACTCATGGTGAGTGTCAAAGTTACAAGTTAATGTCAGAACAAACTAATCCAGATAGACTTTAGCTTTGCTATGCCAAAAATCACTTGACACTCAAGTGAGCTACTTTCTTTGCTTTCTACAGCACAACTAAAGCAACCTAAACATATTTATAGATATTATAGACTATGCCAAGAGCTCCGTAACGGATTCCTGGAAATTAAATTTTCCAGGGGATCCAAAAAAAGTAAATCACCACTATTGCCTTCTGATAAGATAACAGGCTATTTTGGCACTTATATAATTAGGTTTTCTACACTTCGGGTTACTGATCACTGGTAAAATCTGCAAGCACACTTTATTATTAAAGTCATTAAATGAGTATATTAAGAGTGAAATCTGAAAACACTTTAAAATGTCATGTGATAGATGTTTAAACACTGATTTAACTTTCAAGTGATAATTTTGTAAACAATTAATGAAAGCATGGGGATGAGTTTTCATGCAGAATAGAAATATTAAAACAGTTTATACACTTTACATTACTGTAACTGGCATATTCATTTTTCATTTTTTTTTATTTAACCAAGGAAAGACCCAGAAAATGTTGAAGACCATAATTTTAAATGTAAATGACATAATCAGTATTTTTTTTTACCAGTTCATAATTGCTCATATTTTTTCCTTTGAGTATGTGAAGTGTGACCTGAAATAGCAAGGGGCCTATCTTCCTGATTTTATTAAGCCCATAAAACCACATCTCCCACCTAGGCTTTAGACCCAATCCTTTAATACATGTGTCTAGAAAAGCTTAAATTGCAATAAAAAAAAAAAGAGACTACTTTGCATGAGGACATCCAGAGTGAGCCAGGGTGGCAAAGGACAAACCTAAACAAGACCATCAAGTGCTAAGCTGCATTCATAACTGAAAAAAATTTCTCTAATGACTTCCATCCCATGAAGCATTACCGTAGGTAGAGGAAAATATTTTGTTTTATAAAGGCAATCACGATTATTTATCATTGCATGTTATACAAAAACACAGAAAAGAAAATATATTCCTCCGACTGTGATAACAGTTTGCTAGTTCTCCAGTGTGTTCAAAGAATATGAACAGTCGGTAAGCAACAACTTTAATCACAAAGAATGCACAAATTGAATTAATCGAATAGGGCAAGACATGTCATTCCATCTTCCATTGTGGAATCACATACGGTGAAATCCCACAGTCTAGTAAACATGCTTGAATTTTTGCTTTTTTCATTACAAATTATAAATAACTTATAGCTTATTTCCAGGTTTAACTTAGATTTTTAGATTACAGATTTTTAGTGTGGTTACAGACTTTTGTACCTCACTATATTTCTGACATAAACACATAAGCATATAAATGTGTACATCTAAATTTCTGTAGTCTGTATATATTTGAATGAAAAATAGAACAGAATCCTTTTTTTATGGGCTCCCAAGCTGCAGAGAGGCAAATTTAAAAGGTAACACTTTAGTATAAGGACCAATTCTCACTATTAAGTTGAGTATTAGCATGTCTATTATTAACATATTGGCTGTTTATTAGTACTTATAAAGTACATATTATCCATGACCATATTCTACATCCCTAATCCTTCCCAATACCTAACCTTAACTAAACCGCTACCTTACTAACTATTAATAGGCAGCAAATTAGGAGTTTATTGAGGCAAAAGTCATAGTTAATGGTTTGTTTTTAGTGAGAATTGGACCTTAAAATAAAATGTGACCATTTAAAATGTGGGCTAACAAAATTAGCTAGTGTATATAGGGTAATATTAAACTGTTGGGGTGTTTCAGTGTGCTTGGGTACTTTCCTGATATATAGGTCCTGTCATCCACAATGCACCTGCTGAAAGCTCTTAGACAACAATGATTCTGGGAGACGTCCCTCCACTGCAACTAAACCTGAACCTGAACCTGATATAACAGAGAAACACAGTAATTGAGATTTTTACCATTCACAAAAGCAGAGTTGAATTAGACATAGACCTCACTTACAACAATGATTATTATTTCATTATAGCACCACATAGTGTCAGAAAACAACTGCTAGAGCATGTATTTTGCTGCTGAGTATCAAAAGGACAATCACACACCAGTCATTTTAAGTTGATCATCTCCATTTTTAATACAGGTGGTATGAAACAAATGCAACAACCCTGTTTACACTTGGCTTCACTTGACCGTCCTTTGGGGATGGAGGGGTCGTAACGGTGGCTAACATGATCCTAGCAGTAACTGTTAGATTAGAGAGAAGGACTGTACACGATGCAGGTCACTGAATATGTGACAAAAACTTAAGGACAGATATGCGACAAACAGATGAGGAGGGAAATCATCTTCGAACGTCACATGCACCAACAACCCCCGAGAAAAGCTGTCATCTTTCCTCTGCGGTTGAAAACAGTCACACAGATGTCATAGACACTGAGCACATGAAATCAGATCGTAGAAAGGCCACTGATTTCATCTTTTTCTAAAAGCCTGGGTTGGATTTCAGTAGAGGATGACCAGACGCACGCAATAAAGCCATATTAATTATTTTTTTGTTTTCTGCTCTGTAATATACTTTTCATTATTTACAGGGATGTACACAAAATACACTTAAAAAGAGGATCTTCCATTTCTTTGCAATAAAATGTCACAGGACGTTTAGTATAGTCTCTTTTTTTTTGTTACATTCCAGCCATGAGCCATTCAAGAAAAGGAAACGGAAAAATACTGTGATCAAAAAAACACAAATGGCGTGGTCCTTAAAAAGGGGGCGTGTTTGAGTCCTGTTTGTGCCAGTGTGCAGTAATTCTAATGGAGGCAACTCAAGGGCGGCTAGTTGGAGTTGAAGTGACAGTCAGCATTGTCAGTGACTCACAATTCCTTTGTCTTTTCTCCACACTCCAGTGTAGGACATTTCTGTTCATCTCGAACACCAAGCGCCTTTTAGATTTTCTGAATGACAGGTCTCTGTTGATTGACAGGCAAGTTTAACAAAAAAATAAAATAAAATACAGTGTCTGTGTGGTGGGGTAGACAATAAGAAAGTGATTGTTCTCATATTCAGCGTGTTATTTTCATTTAATCTTATTTTTTAATCAGCGATATTATCAATCTCCATCTGGATCTTTTTGTGCGTGTGTGTTTTCACAAAAAAGGGTGGTGCGCCCCCTGTTGGGGGTTCAGGTTCTCCCACAGATGAAAGCAAGGTAGGTTTAGTCACGGTCTGGAGACGGCTTGTGTGCGTGTGTGTGTGAGTGTGTGTGGGGCCTGACTGGAGAGGAGGCGTGTTTATGTGCAGCTGAATCGAGGATATTCACGTCAGTTCAACAGTCACTGTGAGAATAAGTGGCAGGAATATCAGTCCAAGCTTGTGCAAACCAGGAGCTCCATCTGAAAGAGTAAATAAAAGTAATTAGTATTTGGCAGGAAGATGCTTGTCACATCTTGGTCATAATCCAGTTTTGCTTATAGCCCTGTCTTAAAGGGATAGTTCACCCAAAAACGAAATGAAGTTCTGTCATCATTTACTCACATTAATGTCAATCTAAAAAATGTGTGCTGTTGTTTTCTGTGGAACAAAAAGCAGTTCCTGGTGATCGTGGGCTATCAAGCTCCAAAAATGACAAAATAAAGCACTACAAAAAAAAAAAAAAGTTCATATAATTAGTAGTTCATATGATTTGTTTGTCATATATTCCAAGAAACACGATAGCTTTGTGTGAGAAAGTTTATTCACTTTTCACTCTAAAAAAACAAAAAACTAATTATTCATGCAAATTGTTGGATGTCATAACATTTGATGTTATTGATGTCCAACCTGTGAAATATTTGATTTAAGAGCTGCAAAGTCATATGGACAACGTTTAGTTTTTTTTTTTTGTCATTGTAAATTGTCTGGAACACAGTGTTCCACAGAAAAAAATCACATCACATGGATTTAGAACAACATGAGAGTAAATAATTGTTGAAGACTTTTTATTTTTGGGTCATCTATCTCAAAT